ATCACAGCCCTCCTGACACTGAACAGCATACACAACATTACTCTGTTGTGCCGGGGGACTGGATCTTTGGGATGAACCAGTCTTTGTCGTAATGTATTTTGGGGTTTAAATACAGCACCTCAGACTGAGGAAGTCTCTTGGATGAGAGACGAAACGTTTCTAGAATTTTTTTTGCTTTGTTTTGCTTTTGTTTTTTTTTTGAATGTCCAGAGGACCAGATTGAACTTTTTTGGACCTTAAATGTAAAGTTTTGTTATATATTTAGATTAAATAGATATATCTATAAGCACTTTGGTAACAGTTTCTATTTTAAATGTGCTAATACATCTGACTAGACTATATCTAATATCTTATATCTAGAAATATTATATAGATTAGATTAGATTATAGATTTAGTAAACGATTTACATGATCCTGATCTTTTCCTCAACATTTTTAGCTAACAGCTTATAATTTATTTTGTTTCCATCTCTCAACAGCATCATGTCACTTTCAGTGCAGCAGGTTCCTATGCTGTTGATGATCTAAAGCCAGACACTCAGTACTCATTTTCTCTAGCGGCCCGATCTGCGAGAGGTTTGGGAGTTTTTACTCAGCCGGTTGAAGCCAGGACCACCCAGTCCAGTGAGTATCACACCATTCATAATCAATCACTTAGCGTTAGAGATTAAAATTTAAAGGTAGTCAACATTATATAAATAGACTGTCCTTATATAGGGTGCCGTATGTGAAGTTACAAAGTCAAAAATTAACAGCAATATTTTGCTTTATTTAGCCTTTACTAAGAAAAAAAAAAGAAGTTTTTTTTGGTCATATTTTCACCTTGTTATTATTAAATTTATAAATGTCATAGTTCCAAACTAAATATTTAATTTACAAGCTAAATATTTAGTATACAAACTAAATACTTAACTTACAAGTTAAATATTTGGTCAGTAAACAAAATATTTAGGTGTAAATTAAATATTTAATTTCCAAACTAAATATTTATTGTCCATGCTAATTATTTTATTTCCAAACTAAACATTTAATTTCAAAAGTAAATATTTAATTTGCTAACTAAATATTAACTCTCACCTAAATATTAAACTTGCAAGCTAAATATTTAGGTCCGAGCTAAATATTTAGTTAATATGCTAATTCCTTGCTGAAAAGAGGAAGTGAACTATCAAAATAAAGCCGAACCCATGTGACATAACATTCAGGGCTTACCCGGCTCTATCTCCATTCATGTAGGCTCGCGCTGGACCGCGTTCGATCAAGATAGAAGGCCCTATTTACACGGACACAGCGGGGGGAAACATAGGTTCTATTGGATGTTGATTTGAGGAAAAGATCTGTGATGACACGGAGCATTTTCTGTGTACATGGAACCGCAGCACCCCCTCCACAAATCCACTGTAGTTGCCATGCCAGGTCAGTAGTTGGCGCTGTAAATTTTGTACATTCACCTAATGCACATGGGCGCTGCCTGGGACTGCTTTCATGTAAGCCATTCTCTGGGCTGATAGCCCAGTAACAACAAAACATAAACAGCCTGAACAAGCCAGATAAACAACATGGCGTCAGTACCCAGGATGACAACAGTCCAGTCATTAATGTAGTTTAAAGTTAACATGTTTTTAATAGTGTGTTCAGTTTAATTGTCAGTGATTGTGTGACATACAGTTTACGGTGTTGAATAAATAAATAAAAATTAAAGCTGATGTCTTCATTTTCAACCTTAATAACATGCACTATGTTTTGCATCTTTGTAACCACAGAACTTGAATTACAATTAATGTCCAGATAGCTTCATTTAGCTCAGATAGCTTCCTTAATACATAGCTATTATCTATTATCTATATATTTAGAATGGATATGTTTAATATCCACTACTAAGTAAGAGTTTCATTGTAATGTCACCTCTACTAGGCATTTTACTGCACATACTGTAAATAACACCTAGATGTAGTGATTTTCTTTGGCAACTTGCCAATTTAGTGTTTTATTGACATGCACAAAACATAAAATATGCATGTCGCCGTATGGTTCCTCAATGGTGGGACTAATAAAGTTCAAAGTAAAAGCTATAATTTGGAATTCAAAACAGTTTAAATTAAATACAATATGATAACTCTGGGTGATTTTATGTATTTTAATGAAAATGACTTCAACATGTAACTTATCAAATAGTGGGCTAGAGAATAAATACCAGATCAAAAACACTCTTCAACAAGGAATGATGGAGGCCAGTGTACTTTCTTACTTTAAAGTTATTCTCTAAACTTTTTTCATTTACTGCTACATTCAAATCATTTAACTGATTTTTTTAATATAATCTTTTCTGTTATTAATCTGCAGTTCAGAATCACCCTGACTTTCAGGAAAGAGCACGTTACGTATAATGTTGCAGCACCATGGAACTGGAACTAGTTCCTCGTCTTGATGTGGGTCGATTGGAGCAGCTCAGGATCCAACACTGTACACCCAGGTTTAGGATCCAAGACTATACCCGGGTCTAGGAGAGTCCGCACACTGGAGCTTTTCATTGGATCAAACTCAGTCCTTTGCTCCTTTAAAAAATACAAACATTAGTAAACACTGTCGTGTTCGCATCACAAGTCTAAAATAAGACTCCAAGTTTGCTACTCAAAGCAGAAAACAATTAATGCAATTGCTATTTTTACTCATTCACAAAGATCTATGTGGCAATATGGCCTTTTTGTGTTAGTTACATGTTTTATTGGTATACTTGCTGTGTTTATCGATTTGTTTATGTTGGATTCCTTTGTTGCATGTTACTGTTGCTGATTATTTTCTTTTGTTTGAGGCTGTGATTGCCACCGATGACACGGCCAGAGACGGCCACTGACAGGTCACGCAGGTGTTCCCCATCAGCCGCAATGGCATGAAAGCCAGAAATGGGGAAATAAAAAAAAAGTCAAAGTTTCTTTATTTGTCATATGCACCACATGTGGTACATTTGGTTGAATGAAATTGTGTCCACAGGGTCCCAGTTACATCTAACAAAAGTATAAAATGTAAAGAAAACAGTAATAAGATCTAAGCTACAGTATGAACTAAGAAAAATTTCAAACTAAAAATTTACTAAGCACTATTAGTACAAAAACAATACACCGAACAACAGCAGCACAAACATGAGTCTGTGTGAGCAGATGAGTATGAATGAACACAGCAACATGAAATAGATCAGCAGCATGAAACAGATCAGCAGCATGAAATAGATCAGCAGCATGAAATAGCAGCATGATTTCTTGAGTTTCAACGAGAAGAAATCTGAAGTTATGCTGTTTCCTCCCAATGACACAATCACCAACCACTGCATCGACCTATCCGTTCTGTCACCGTTATGCCCCTTTTCCATTAGTACCGGTACGGGCCGACTCGACCCTACTTGGCCCGGTTCTGAGGCTTTTCCATTAGTACCGGTACTTAGCACCTGTTACTATTTTCAGTACCCTTGGCTCTGTGGTTCTAACCGGTACGAAGAGGTACAAAAACGTGACGTCAGTACACTGTCGGTCACTGATTGGTCGGGGGCGGAGTCACTGGATCCTTCAGAAACGTTTCAAAACAATAATCCGCCATTTGCAATTTCTTGGACTGGAGCAGCGGCTGGACTTATTTTAAAGATTTTAAAAACAATACTGACAACATCTTGGTCTAATGTTGATGTGCTGGCATTTTTTGTGCTTGGTGGCCGACAACATAATTCAGAGCAAGCTGGGTGGAGCTCTGCTGGTGTACCCCGATCCTCCCTCCGGAGCCTCGGAGCGCCAGACCGGGCAGGGCGTCATCTCCCCGGCTCCAAGTTCAGCTGGTCACCACGGAAGATCCTTCGATGTGCCGACTCGGAGGCTCAGGTTCCAGATACCAGCCTTGTGTGCTCAGAGCTCCGCAGGTCACTGCGAATCTGGAGATGGGGACTCACAGATGGCCGTTGCGAGACCCCGGCCGCGCGTAATCATGAAGGCTGAATCCCGATCCCACCCGGCAGTCAGGCGGACTGGACAGTCTGGGACGGACGCTGGAAGCGATTTTTAAATAAAATAATATTTTGTTTTTATACAAAAAATGTTTAAAAAAAATGCTGAAGCGATTTAAAAATGATTTTTTTTTTTTTTTTTTTACACGTAAAAGGTTTTTTAAAATCGCTTCCACCGTTCGTCGCAGACCCGTCTCTGTCCGCCTGTCTGCGCGGGTCGAGCCTTCATGATTACGCGCGGCTGGAGCCTTGGAACAGCCTCTGTGAGTGACCAGCTGAACTGGAGCTGGGAGGATGAGCCTCCCAGCCTCCTCTTCTCCGGAGGAGAGGATCGTGTGACTGCGGGCAGTGTCGTGCGAGACCAGCAGAGTTGAAGATTAAAAAAAAAAAAAAAAACGGTGCCAGCTTCATCATGAAATCCTATTTTCACTTTAATGACTGTTAACTCAGCTGAAAATCATAAAAAGACACAAAACTATTGGATATCAGGAATATTTCCCTCAAACATGTTTAAAGAAAAGAGACGACCTTCAGTTCAACTTTATTTTAACTCACGAATGTACAAATCACAAAACAAGAACTTTAAAGCAAAGCTAAAAATAAAATGTTTATATGTGAACAAGAAAGAAAACCACACATTTTTGTAGAATCTGGTTCATCAGAGTTTTAATTTATATACATATATATTTATATCTATAAATATATATAGATAAATATATATATATGTATATATATATAAATACATATATATGTAATTTATACACATATATATATTTATATCTATAAATAAATATAGATAAATATATATGTATATATATAAATACATATATATGTATATACATATATACGAATATATATAAATACATATATATGTATATAAATATATATGAATATATATAAATACATATATATGTATATATGTATATACATATATACGAATATATATAAATACATATATATGTATATAAATATATATGAATATATATAAATACATATATATGTATATAAATACATATGTGTATATATATACATATATATATATATATATACATAATTGTGTGTATATACATATGTGATATATATATATATCACATATGATATACATATATGTGTGTGTGTATATATATACACACATAAATATATACACATATGTATGTACATATATATTTGTGTGTGTGTGTGTGTATAAATATATATATGTGTATATATATATATATATATATATATATATATATATATATATATATATATTTATACACATGTATACATGCATACATACATACACACAACTTCAAAATAACATAAATTCTCAACCTGTACTGAAAACAGTTTCTGCGTCTCAGCGCCACCAGCTGGTGAGAGGCCGTGACGTCAGTTTGAACCCCGCCCACTGGAACCGGTACTGAAAGCATAATGGAAACACAACCTGTACCGTACCGAATAGAGTAGAGCCGGGCTGTACCGGCCCGTACCGGTACTAATGGAAAAGGGGCACTAGTGAAACAAAGAGTCACTAATCTAGGAGTGATACTTGACCCTTCTCTGAAACTCAACAATTATGTAAATATGATTGTTAAATCCTGCTTTTTCCAGCTGAGGCGACTGTCTAAGCTGAAGCCCATATTGTCCAAAAATAACCTGGAGACAGTAATTCATGCATTCATTACATCCAGGCTCGACTATTGCAACTCACTCCTTTTTGGTATCAGTCAGTCCTCCATAGCTAGACTCCAACTGGTCCAAAATGCAGCAGCCCGGTTTTTGACCAGCACAAGCAAAAGAGAGCACATTACATCTGTTTTGGCCTCCCTACACTGGCTTCTGGTTCACCTTCGAATCAAGTTCAAAATACTCTTGTATGTCTATAAATCACTAAACAGCTCTGCCCCCTCATGTCTTACTGATCTGCTCCAGCCGTATGTCCCACCACGTTCTCTCAGATCAGCAGACCAGTTGCTTCTAACAGTCCCAGGAACCCGTCTCAAGCGCAGAGGTGACAGGGCCTTCTCTGTAGCAGGCCCAAGACTTTGGAATGAGTTACCTCTGCTCGTTAGACAGGTCCCCTCCCTCACAGTTTTTAAATCTTGCTTAAAAACACACTTTTATTCCCTGGCTTTCAGCACTGTGTGATCTGTGCTGAGTCTGTGTGCATCACACTGTGTTGGTCATGTTGCAGTTGTTGTTGTTATCCATTATTGTTTTTGTTGGTTTCTACTTTTTGGTGTCCTGTTATGTAATCTGTTGCTGTGTGCTTGTTCTGTTTGTCCCTGTACAGCACTTTGGTGTGCTTTGTCACTGTTTAAAGTGCTTTATAAATAAATTGGTATGGTATGGTATGGTATGGTATGGTATGGTATGGTATGGTATGGTATGGTATGAAACAGATCAGCAGCAACATGATGTGATTTTTCACAGTGCTTATCCTGGTTAGAAATTCATGAGTCTAACAGCCTTAGGGTAGAAGCTGTTCCTCAGTCTAGTGGTTCTACACTTACTGCTCCTTAACCTCCTGCCTGAGGGAAGTGGTGTAAAATGTGTGTGCTGGGTGATCTGGTGTCCATTTTCACAAGTGGAAAAATAGTGTAGCAAAGTAGGAAAAAGTACCACCCTTCTTCCTCCATCACTTACACATGCTGCACAATGTGTTTTCAGTGCTCGGAGCTCCTCCCAGGAAGGTGGCTGCAGTAGTCCTGAACTCTACAGCCATCAAGGTCACCTGGAAGCCTCCTTTATCAGTGAAGCATCATGGGGAAATTGAAGGGTACCGTCTTATCTGCTCAAGGTTGAAGAATGGAAAACCTTATGGCCAGCAGATTGACATGGATATTTCAGGCCTTGAAAACCAGGTAACATTTTGGTTCAGTATTGGTTTCACTTTGTTGTGTGTGTGTGTGTGTGTGGGGGGGGGGGGGGGGGAGTCTTGTTCAAATAACAAGAAATTGAAAACAAAATGTTTGCATTTTCCTCTTTTGAATTACTTAATGAAAAGGTGCACTGATTTTAAAAACATGAATGTCCATCCATCCATTTTCTTCCGCTTATCCAGGGTCGGGTCGCGGGGGTAGCAGCCTAAATAGGGAGGCCCAGACTTCCCTCTCCCCAGCCACTTGGGCCAGCTCTTCTGGGGGAATCCCAAGGCGTTCCCAGGCCAGCCGAAAAGCATAGTCCCTCCAGCGTGTCCTGGGTCTTCCTCTAGGCCTCCTTCCGGTGGGACGTGTCCAGAACACCTCACCAGGGAGGCGTCCAGAAGGCATCCTAAACAGATGCCCAAGCCACCTCAACTGGCTCCTCTCGACATGGAGAAGCAGCGGCTCTACTCCGAGTCTCTCACGGATGATCGAGCTTCTCACCCTATCTCTAAGGGAGAGCCCAGACACCCTGCGGAGAAAACTCATTTTGGCCGCTTGTATCCGAGATCTCATTCTCTGCCTCACAACCCAAAGCTCGTGACCATAGATGAGGGTAGGAACGTAGATCGATCGGTAAATTGAGAGCTTCGCCTTTTGACTCAGCTCTCTCTTCACCACGACAGACATGTACAGCGCCTGCTTCACTGCAGACACTGCACCTATCCGCCTATCGATCTCACGCTCCATTTTTCCCTCATTCGTGAACAAGACCCCAAGATACTTAAACTCCTCCACTTGGGGTAGTACCTCCTCCCTGACCCAGAGAGGGCACTCTACTCTTTTCCGGCTCAAGACCATGGCCTCAGATTTGGAGGAACTGATCTTCATCCCGGCCGCATCGCATTCGGCTGCGAACCGCTCCAGCGAATGCTGTAGATCATGATCTGATGAAGCCAATAAGACCACATCATCTGCAAAAAGAAAAAACGCAATCCTAAGGCCACCAAAACGGATCCCCTCAACACCTTGGCTGCGCCTAGAAATTCTGTCCATAAAAGTTATGAACAGAATCGGTGACAAAGGGCAACCTTGGCGGAGTCCAACTCTCACCGGGAACAAGCCCGACTTACTGCCGGCGATGCGGACCAGGCTCTGACACCGGTCATACAGGGACCTAACAGCCCGTATCAAAGGGCCCTGTACCCCATACTCCCAGAGTACCCCCCACAGGGTTCCCCAAGGGATGCTGTCGAATGCCTTCTCCAAGTCCACAAAGCACATGTAGACCGGTTGGTCAAACTCCCACGCACCCTCCAGGACCCTGCTGAGAGTGTAGAGCTGGTCCAGTGTTCCACGGCCAGGACGAACATGAATGTCCTAAAATGAAAAGGAGTTTAAGGGACGCTAATGCTTACAAGAGAGGAGGTATAATTTTCTAAGTACAACCAAACCCAGACTAGGCACAAAATCAAACCCACATGAGACATAGAACCAACCCCTGACGAATCACAGAAACCAAAACCAAATGAGACAAAGCCCTAAACCCTGACAAGGCACAGAACACAAACACTGACCCCTTGTGGACCCTAGTGAGGGTAAAGAGTTGGTCAAGTGTTCCACAGCCTGGACGGAACCCGCATTGTTCCTTCTGGATCTGAGGTTCGACCAGCGATCGACCTTGCTTCTATAGTACTCCTGGATAGACCTTACCAAGGAGGCTAAGGAGAGTGATGCCCCTGTAATTGGAGCACACCTTCCTATCCCCCTTTTTGAAGAGGGGAACCAGCACCCCAGCCTCCCAATCCAGTGGCACTGCCCCCGATGTCCATGAGATGTTGCAAAGGTGTGTCATTCAAGACAGCCCCACAACATCCAGAACCTTAAGAAAATCAGAGTGAATCTTATCCACCCCCGGAGTCCTGCTGCTGCGTAGCGACCTCAGCCATGGTTAGGGATTTCTGTCAAGCTGAAGTAGGAGTCCTATTGGTCCTTGTTGGCTGGTGGGACTCTGGAGGCAGCTGAGGAGTACTGGAGGGCCAAATGGTCCACAGCCTTAGCTGTTGCTGGGGCAAAATCTCGGATGTGGGAGGAGTTTGGTGAGGACTTGGATAAAGACTCTCGGTCGGCTCTGAGGAGATTCTGGCAAACCATCAGATGGCTGAGGAGGGTAAAACAGCTCTTTACTAACACTGTGTTCAGTGAAGGTGGGGTGCTGTTGACCTCAACTAGTGATGTCGTCGGGAGGTGGAAGGAATACTTCTTGGACCTTCTCAATCCCACTGGCACGTCTTCCATGGAGGAAGCTGAGTTGGTGGACTTTGGGGTTGATCTGTCCATAACCTGAGGTTACGTGTGAGAAACATCAACATTCTTGCAGCCACAGCTCAAGGCAGCCACTTCAACAACTGAGGCATACATGTTCGAACATGGTGTTCATCATGATGGCCAAACTATGACTAGCACATACGAGAGATCAGACAGGCCGTTCCTCCCAATCATGCCCCTCCAGGTCACACTGTTGTTACCCACGTGGGCATTGATGTCCCCCAGCAGAATAAAGGAGTCCTCAGCTGGCACACCTTCCTACACCCACACCAAGGACTCCAAGAAGGCCAGATACTCTGAACTGTAGTTCGGTGCATAGGCACAAACAACCATCAGAGCCCGTCCCCCACACCCGAAGGCGTAAGGAAGCTACCCTCTCATCTACCAGAGAAAACTCCAACACACAGGCACCAAGTTGGGGAGCTAAGAGTAGACCCACACCAGCTTGTTGCCTCTCCCCATGGGCAACCGCAGAGTGGAACAAGGTCCAGCCCCTCTCAAGGAGATTGATTCCAGAGCCCATGCTGTGCGTTAAGGTGAGCCCAACTATATCTAGTCAGTACCTCTCAACCTCACGCACAAGCTCAGGCTCCTTCCCCACCAGAGAGGTCACATGAGCCAGTTTTGGTATGCTATGGTCAGAGTGCCAAGGTCCCCGCCTTCGGCCACTGCCTATGGATTCATACACCCAACTCCTATGTCCGCTCCTGCAGGTGGTGGACCCACAGGACTCTAATTTCAGCTTTAAATTAACTACTAATCCTAGAGGGTCACATACTTTTACCACTCACAAATATGTAATATTGGATAATTTTCCTCAATAATTAAATGACCAAGTATAATATTTTTGTCTCATTTGTTTAACTGGTTTCTTGAACTACTTTTAGGACTTGTGTGAGAATCTGATGATGTTTTAGGTCATATTTATGGACCAGCCTCTGTCGGCTGGTCCACCCTAAGGACAAAACACCCATACACAAACAGAGTGGTGTAGTGTATGCGGTCCAGTGCAGCGAGGACTGTCCAGACCGCTACATTGGAGAAACTAAACAGCCTCTTCACAGACGCATGGCTCAACACAGGAGAGCCAGCTCCTCAGGACAAGATTCAGCTGTTCACCTCCACCTCACAGATAAAGGACACTCTTTTGAGGACCAAAATGTGCACATTTCGGACCGAGAACACAGATGGTTTGAGAGGGGGGTGAAGGAAGCAATTTATGTAAAAAGAGAAAAAACATCTCTTAACAGAGGAGGAGGCCTCAGATTTCCACTTTCAAAAACGTATAATGTAACTTTAAGACTGATTCCCAGCCAGTTGTCACAACTGATGGGAACAGAAGGGCCTCATCTGTGAATTAGAGTAACAAAGACCTTAAGAAACCCCTACTGTTAAGGTGTTGAAGTGTGAATTGTCAATCTACATATGCATGTGTGTCTTATCTCACTCAGTCTTATAACTTGAACCCCTCACTCTCTGCTCTTTGAATTGAGAAAGTTCCTCGGATGAGGAGCGAAACGTCTTCTGTTACAAATAAAATCCAGTTGTTTTTGTACGTTTTTTTGAATTTATCATGTCCTGGATGACTGAGAATCTTCACCAGCACATATTATAAGTAAAAACTTTAGGAAGTCGCCATCTAAAATGAAAGAACTTTATTGTTGTTGTTTTTCTTTCAGTTGCTCCCTTGTTCAGGAGATACCACAGAGAGTGAACTTGCATGAAATATTTGGTCATTGTTTTACACCGGATGCCATTGTCACAACCTCGGCTCGGACTTGCAGCCTCAGGATTACAAGACTGTGGCACTTACCATGGAGCTATGGTTGCTCTATGAAAGAACTTTATTAAATTGTCAAAATAAATTTATTTGTTCCCTGACAATTAAACGTAAAACCTGAACCATCTGTCAGAGTCCTTTCTACACTGTATTTGTGAAGAAAGAAAATCCTACTTTGAAATAATTGCTTTTTGAGTCATAATAAAATATTAAAGTGAACATTATAATCAGTCCAGATTGTCGATGTTTTTGTGACTTACTGTTTTTTTAACAAACGCAAATACAGTTATTTTCTTTAAGACTTATCATATTGCGACCGTAGGGTTTTGTAAAAAGCTTTAATTTCTAATTAATTTTGTTCTCAGAATCTATCATTTTCTATTACTTTCCCTACACATTTAAAACTGCACTATAATTCTATTTATTAAATTCTAATCTTTAAATGAAGACCACTATTGAAGGCTTGGAGCTGGGCGTGGTGTCCTCATACATGTCCTGTACCAGACGGGTGTGGTGAATTTGAGTGGCTTAAAAGAATGTTGAACAGTTTGTCAACTTTAATTTGTCTTTTTCTTCCCCTTTCACTTCTTATCCTTCTTTTCTTTTTTAGCATGCCATTGTTTCTTCTCTGCTCCCTGAGACTTTGTACTCTGTGACCCTGGCTGCCTACACCACTAGGGGGGATGGAGCCCCCAGCAAGGCCAGGGTGGTGATGACCAAAGGACCTGGTGCGTGCATCCACTGCACGCATGCACACACACACACACACACACGCACGCACGCACACACAAACAATACGGTTGCGTCTCATTTTTCAATCTTTAAAAAGTGGAGTGAAAAAGTTCAAAATACACAAGTTACACTGTAAAACAATGTCTTGGGTAATTCAAGGAATGTGTTTTAAAAGTTCTACTTCTAAGCAAAAGCATGATTGTTTTTAAAATTAGTCTAATCAAAGATGTTTGCTGTCCTAGGCTCTGCCCTCCTGGCCTTATTATCTCATATTTCTTTAAGATTCATTTCATTTCTCTGTTTGTAGAGAATATCACTGTAAACATGTGCTTTGAAATTGTACATTGTGTAAAAATATTGTATGTTGTTGGTATCACAAGTATCCACTCCTCTTTCTGTTTTAGGGCAAACTGGAATTTATTTTGGTTTTCAATTTTATATAAAACAATGATTCTACAAAAAAAAAATCTGGTTGACGATTTTAGTTATAACAACATCTAGCTCACCCTATGCCTTCCACTTCAATTCAAACTCAGGTCCTGTACCAAAGGCCTGGGAACTTGAAGGTTCTGCACAGTATTGCAGCTGTTCCTGGGACTGCACTTTTTTGGACAGAGATCTCTGAGGTTGTTCCTGAGATCTGTTGGAACCACTTTTCCAGTGTGGGGGTCACAGCACCAAGTGCTCCAGTGACCACTGGGACTACTGATGATTTGACTCGCCACAACTTCTGTATTTCCTCCTTCAGCCCTTGGTATTTCTTGAGCTTCACATGCTCCTTCTTCCTGATGTTACAGTCACTTGGGATTGCTACATCTATCACCACTGCCCTTTTCTCTTGCCTGTCGACCAGCACAATGTCCAGTTGATTAGCCATCATATATTTGTTAGTTGGGATCTGGAAGTCCTTCAATATCTTAGCCCTTCCATTCTCCACCACCCTTGGTGGTGTCTCCCACTTTTAATGTGGGACCTCCAGTCCATACTCAGCACAGATGTTCCTGTGTATTATTCCAGCAGCTTGTTTATGACGTTCCAGGCAGGCAAAGCTTACAACACCCTGCTATTATGTGTTGGACTGTCTCAAGGGCATCTTTGCACAGCTTTCATCTCAGGTCTTGTCTGGTTACTTTTGTACTGAGGGCTTGTTGTTGTGTTACCATGATTAGTTCCTCTGTGCTGTCCTTTAGTCCAGCCCTCTCTAGCTAGCTTGTATGGTAGCCTGACCAAAGAAGGAAACAGAAGCCATTGACATCAAGACTCAACATTTCCTCACAATGCACGGAGAATTTCACCCAAAGTCCAGCAGCCTGAGTCTATACACTAAGAGAAAAGAGGGAGTCAGAGGACTAGTGAGCATCCAAGCCATTATACAGAAGGAAACAACTAAGATCCTCCTGGAGTAAGTCAGGAGGAAAGTCCCTGATGATTAACTGATGAGTGAATATCTCAGGCAGCAGCACGTACCCAATGTGGAAGAGGCGGAACAAGTGAAGCCATAATGGAAAAATAAGCTCCTACATGGCATTTATCTCAGGCAGCTTGAGGAAGTGGCTGATATCATCAAATCCTACCAGTGGTTATTTGATGAGTGGACCTGCATACATGTTGATGCCTCAGACTTTGGAAACCTCTTGAAACTGTTTTGGTTTTGGGGCAGCTATGGCTCAGTGGTTAGTGCAGTCGTCCTCCAGTGGGAGAGTTGGGGTTCGATTCCACCAGCATGTTGAAGTGTCCCTGGGCAAGAAACTGAACACCTCATTCACAATTTCCTGCGGGATCAATAAAGCTTTATCTTATCTTATCTTATCTTATCTTATCTTATCTTATCTTATTTTATCTTATTTTATCTTATTGCCTCTGGTGTCTTTATTAGGTAAAAAGGAGCTATATAAGTACATTCTATTTACCATTTACAATATTTTTAAAATCATTTATAACTTCTCTGTTGAACTTTAATAATCTGTTGTTGTTGTTGATATATTACATAGAAATAAATTAAAACCCCATTTAAACTACAGGTTTTAAGGTAAAGAATATCAGGAGAGGTGAATACTTTTGAAACCCACTACATGCTGTTAGGAAGTAGATTTTATTTTATTATTTAACTTTTGTTTAACCAGGCATTGAAATCACAGATCTCTTTTTCAAGGGAGGCCTGGTCCTGAAGGCAGCTTAACATTGTAGAAATATGGGTAGATAATATAGACATAATCTTTGCAAAACAAAATATTTAACAAACTATTCACACAGAGCTGGGCTCTTCAGTTCAAACTGTGAGGAGATGTATGTGTCATGGTTCTGGTGGTGAAGAAGGCAGGATATAACATGTGACTTGTGTTTTAGTGCCTGGAAAGCCCATTATGATGATCAGTACAATGACCGGCAACACCGCTTTGATCCAGTGGCAGCCTCCCAATGAAATCGTGGGGGAGCATGTTGGATACCAGCTGCAGTACAAGAGAACCGATGAGGAAACTTTCACTGTCAGAGACTTCAGAAAGGCTGACGATCATTTTACAGTCACTGGCCTCCATAAAGGAGCCACTTATATCTTCAAACTGTCTGCTAAGAACCAAGTAGGCACAGGGGAGGAGTATGAAAAGGAGATAAGTACCCCTGAAGATGTTCCCAGCAGCTATCCTCAGAATCTGAGCGTGATAGGCCTAACTTCTACATCCACCCAGCTGTCCTGGGATCCCCCTCCTCTGGCCGAGAGGAACGGAAAGATCCTTAAATACGTAGTGATTTATCGAGATATTAACAGCCAGCACAACAACACGAACAGCACCTCAGAAACCCAGATGACAGTCCAGGATCTTCAGCCGGACACAACCTATGACTTTAGAGTTCAAGCTTTCAACAGCAAAGGAGGAGGGCCTTCCAGTCCCAGCATCCAGAGCAGGACTGTGTCCCCATCCATGTCAGGTAAGAAGCACACATGTGTGGAACATGAGACATTGCTTTGACACTTTCTGCCTAAACATTCTTAAATTTAAGGCCTAGCATCAGCATATCACCATCTGGCTTTTAAAACAGTTTTAATTCAAGATGGCTGCCACAGATATGCGAGCAGCACATCATGTGAGATGTGTTATTGCTTATGTGTTGAGGGCTTTCAGCTATTATCATAAACCTGTTTCTCTGCAGTCATTTAGAAGTTTCAGAACAACAAAGATGGCTCCTGAGGTGGCAGTCAACTGTTTCTGTGCTTCTACGATTTAACAACACAATCATTCTGACAACATCTTCAGCTGTTAGATACACAAAGAAAGGATCTGAGACATCACAAAGATTATTGTTTGGTTTGCATAGAAAGATCGGATGAATTTCTTGCCAACAGTAAAAATATCTGCCAAAGGTTGGAGGAATGCAGGCAGCGTAATCTGAAAACGTTTCCTTAAATCAAGCTGCAGGTCAGAAACAAGCACAAACCAGAACTACAGAAAGAAATAAGTCCTGCAAAGCTGGTCCTAAACACTCACACACTGACCTTCAGCTGTGAGGTACACAACAGGAAGTACAACAGACATATTTTGGAGGAGTGGTGGTGCAGAGGTTAGAGAGGTGGGCTTGTGATCTGAAGATCGCCGGTTCACGCCCCGGCCCCGACATCAAAATTGTGGGTGGGGTAGGTGAAACACCCACACTTGCCCCCACCCTCATTCGCCCCACTCTGGGCCCATGAGCAAGGTCCTTAACCCCACCATGTGCTCCCTAAAACAGGTCTCTCTTGAAAATAAGTTCTCGTGGCTCAATGAGACTAACCTGGATAAATAAAGGCTAAATGAAAAAAATGAAAAAAATTTTACAAAACAAAACAGGAAATGGGTTTCCTACAAAATAAAACAAGGCAATTACAACCAAAATTAAAGATTACTGAAAACAAAAGTGTGTAAGTCTTCAGCAATCTAACGTTACCATGACAACATCATAAAATAGGTTAGATTAGATTAAATTTGAGAGTTTATTGTCATTTACTCAAATTGAGTCACAGTGCATGTGCACTGGGATAAATGTCTGAATGTCAGGTTTTAAACCAGATTCAAAGTGTTCCTTTGTCCCTTGTACATATAATGTGATGCTCTTCTCTTCATTAGTGAAGCAACAAAAGCTGTTGTTTGCAGGTTTATGAAGTTAAAAGTACAAATCTGCAGAATAAATCCAGTTTTCCAACAATTTGTTGCACAGAGTTTAATATTTTCTGTTTAATCATTCAGATCCTCAGTGAACATAAACATTTGCAACTACAAACCGGATTCCAAAAAAGTTGGGACACTAAACAAATTGTGAATAAAAACTGAATGAAATGATGTGCAGATGGCAAATGTCAATATTTTATTCGTAATATAACATAGATGACAGATCAAAAGTTTAATCTGAGTAAATGTAACATTTTAAAGGAAAAATATGTTGATTCAAAATTTCACAGTGTCAACAAATCCCAAAAAAGTTGGGACAAGTAGCAATAAGTGGCTGGAAAAAGGAAATTGAGCATATAACGAACAGCTGGAAGACCAATTAACACTAATTAGGTCAATTGACAACATGATTGGGTATAAAAAGAGCTTCTCAGAGTGTCAGTGTCTCTCAGAAGCCAAGATGGTAAGAGGATCACCAATTCCACCATTGTTGCGCAGAAAGATAGTGCAGCAATACCAGAATGGTGTTACCCAGCATAAAATAGCAAAGACTTTAAAGTTATCATCATCAACCGTGCATAACATCATCAAAAGATTCAGAGAATCTGGAACAATCGCTGTGCGTAAGGGTCAAGGCCGTAAAACTCTACTGGATGCTCGTGATCTCCCGGCACTTAAACGTCACTGCACCTCAAACAGGAATGCCACTGTCAAGGAAATAACAGAATGGGCTCAGGAATACTTCCAGAAAGCATTGTCAGTGAACACAATCCACCGTGCCATCCGCCGTTGCCAGCTGAATCTCTACAGTGCAAAGAGGAAGCCATTTCTAAGCAAGCTCCACAAGCTCAGACGTTTGCACTGGGCCAGGGATCATTTAAAATTGAGTGTGGCAAAATGGAAGACTGTTCTGTGGTCAGATGAGTCACGATTTGAAGTTCTTTATGGAACACTGGGACGCCATGTCATCCGGACCAGAGAGGACAAGGATAGCCCAAGTTGTTATCAACGCTCCGTTCAGAAGCCTGCATCACTGATGGTATGGGGTTGCATGAGCGCTTGTGTCATGGGCAGCTTGCATGTCTAGAAAGGCACCATTAATGCAGAGAACTATGTTCAGGTTCTAGAACAACATATGCTCCCATCTAGACATCATCTCTTTCAGGGAAGACCCTGCATTTTTCATCACGATGATGCCAGACCACATTCTGCAGCAATCACAACATCATGGCTACGTAGGAGAAGGATCCGGTACTGAAATGGCCAGCCTGCAGTCCAGATCTTTCACCTATAGAGAACATTTGGCGCATCATAAAGAGGAAGGTGCGACAAAGAAGGCCCAAGACGATTGAACAGTTAGAGGCCTGTATTAGACATGAATGGGAGAGCATTCCTATTTCTAAACTTGAGAAACTGGTCTCCTCTGTCCCCAGACGTCTGTTGAGTGTTGTAAGAAGAAGGAGGGATGCCACACAGTGGTAAAAATGGACTTGTCCCAACTTTTTGGGGATTTGTTGACGCCATGAAATTTGGAAACAACAGATTTTTCCCTTAAAATGATACATTCTCTCAGTTTAAACTTTTGATCTGTGATTTGTGTTCTATTCTGAATAAAATATTAGATGTTGGCACCTCCACATCATTGCATTCAGTTTTTATTCACAATTTGTTTAGCGTCCCAACTTTTTTGGAATCCTGTTTGTAATTTATTTCGTACTACCACTCAGATAAAATCCTATATAATGTGAATACCACTGAATTAAAAAAAATACTCTCACTGATCAATTTTAAGTGTATGTTTTATTTTTCTAATGTTTAATATACAGAAGTAAACAACTAATATGTGATTAGATGTTATTATTTCTTAATCTTGTCAATGCTTTACATCATTTAAACATTTCTTATAAATTATATTTAATTCAAGGATTCATATTATGAGATAAAAAAACGCATTTATACATTTATAGCTACATTTATAATGTAGCTTCTTTTGTTTCATTTTTTTACATCAGTTCTTCTATTTACTTTTCATTTTATATGGTTTTATATGTTTGCCTATTGTTGTCTGTTGCCTCATCTGTGTTCTTTGTTTAAAACAAGTCTCTCTTGTAAATGAGTCCTTGAGGCTCAATGAGACTAACCTGTATGAATAAAGGTTGAATGAATTATGTTTAATAATCTCAGTGTAGTGTGTCAAGGTCAGCTTAGCTGTACCCTCACTACAATTATATTTAAATAACGAGTTCTCTCTTTTTCGAGCTAATTACAGCCATGTGACAGAAGTAACTGTGCGTAGATGGTTTAATCAGTGACATGAGACTTTAATTTTCTTTGACCCATCAAAATAAATGTGGTCATTTATTGAACAGAATCAAAATTTAACATAAAAACATTGTACACTTGATTAGACTGATCTGGTTCTGATTAATAAAACTTGGCACGTTTTACTTAATAAAAACAACAGATATTTCTGAAGGCATCTAGATTAATTACTGGCAAGATAGAAGTTTAAAGATGGGAAATATGGAGGAGTTTAAAGGGAGAGTTTGAAGGAAGATGTATAAAGGGAGTGTCTGTTTGGACCAGGATGGCACGCTCCTTTCAATACCAGCCCACCTCCGGTACACTTCACGTCACGACTCGCTACCTTTGCCGGGATACCTCCGCTCAGGAACAGGAGTCCATTTCAACGCGACCTTTCAGCGTCTCCGGTAAGGATGGCTGAGAATCGGCAGAAGTCATGCCACTTATCCGTTCAACAAACAGGCTCAGCTCCCTTCGAAGTTGTAGGGCATTTATGCCCAGGTGAAGTCACAGTGAGGCGCTGTGACTCCTACAGAGATGGATGGCTCCATCAGACTGGAAAACTGAGTCCGAAGTTCCACTCAGCAGTGGAAAAACTCCACCGGATTCCAGGAAGACTTCAGACGACTCCAGAACTCTACAGAACTCCTAGAACTCAGGAAGTATCGACTTTTAAAGAGTTCTGCTTCCGGTCACTTTAGTACGTCCTGATTGGTTGAAGCAACCAACAGGGGTGTGGTTCTAGTGATGTCAGAGGGTCATTACAAGTCAAGAAAACAGCAGGAATGTTTTAGGAACAGACAGAGAAATGTTTTGGAGAAATGACAGACTTACAGGTGCCAGTTTTCTTATTTACTGTCTGAGAGTTTTAAAAACACGACACTTCGTTCCAATAACTTCCCTTCTGACTTTTGACCGACATCACTACTTCTCATTTCAGGCAGAAGATCAAAAATGCATAATTACTTTGTAAAATAGACATTTAACTTGATTTCTAATTTAAATGAGGATTTAAAAAATCATTAATACTGTTTCACTGTTGATTTAAAATGAGTGGTTCACTTTAACATTTAAAAATGGTATGAACTAAACACACTTTTGATTTATCAAGATATTGTAAAATAGTGATGATAATATAAAAGAAGAGTGTTCTTTTAATTGATTACTTCAGGATACAATTAGAGAGTCTCTGGATGAGCTAATTTGTATTTCTGGATTCAAATCAATGAAATAACAGTTCTTGTCCCATGAAGGTCTTCAGAGGCAGGTTTTGGTCGGAGGCCTAGTCCACTACATCAGTCATGTGAATAATGATAATAATTTTCTGAAAATTATTCCTTTTTTCCTACAGTGTTTACCAAGAATTTTGATGTGAAATTTGTAACAAAATCGTCTGTCCTCCTGACGTGGGAGCTGTCAGAAACAGTCACATCTGAGGTCCGTCTTAAGGTAACAACCTTCTAATACTGGAAAACATATGAAACACACAAGGTTTATGAGCTTTGACTTTACCAACTAATAGTATTTAACAATATTTAAAGTAATAGTAATAGTATTTATAACTGTGTTTTAAACAACCAGATTACTGAATAACTGGGCAACAGGACAATGTACAACAACAATAGTTTTGCTTTGTCTAACGTTCTAATGCAGTGGGTCTTTTCACAAACATTTGTCTTCAAAACTGCCACTTTAACCTAGTGAAGGGGTTTGAGTACCCTGTGACTGAAAATGTTTGCTTAGGTTTTTCAGACAATCTTGCCCAGAAATGAAACCAGAATATCTTCCTGGCACTTGGCACTTGGGGTTCAGCCAGGTCAAAGTCCAGAAAACATCAAGAAGCAAACCTCCCTGTGGACTTTTGGGGAACACTGACTGGTGGGTGTGATGTAAGCCTACTGAGCAGGACCCTGTGTGTATTCCTTACAAGCAAAAATGACTCCAGGTAAGTGGAACGTCACCTTACTGGAGGGAAAGGAGCATCAGTTTATGGGTTAGGTTGAGTGAAACCAACTTTATATTGGGCTAACCTCCATGGACAGATTGGAATCTGGAACCCAGCTCCTGGAGATAAGCTGGACTCTCCCCTACTTTGGATTTGCCCAGGAACACAACCACCAGAGTGTTATGGTGATACTCGCAAGCCCTGACTGAACGCTGGGGTGGATTCCCAGTAAGTAAGAGGGTCACCTCTTTGCAGCTTTGAGCAAAGAAGAAAGGGTCTGTCTATTGTCTGTGCTCATGCAACTAACAGAAGTTTGAAATAACCAGCTTTCTTGGAGTTTCTGTATCTAGGACCCTTTGTAGATGTGGCTTCCAGGACCTGTGGCCAGAAGGTCCCATCAACCTGAAGAAGGAGGTCTTTAGGACTCAGTTGTCTCAGAAGACTCATGAAGTAGCTGACAAATACAGGTTAATTTGAAATTGATGTTACAGGGTGTATTCCACCTCTTGCACAATCACTGCTGGATATGGACACCAGTGACACCAGTGACCCCTGCGACCCGAAAAGGATAAAGCGGGTAAAGATAAAGGATGGATGGATGGATGGATGGACTGAAAGTGAAGCTTCTGTGATTGCCAAAGTTAAAGCTCAGTTATTGGAGGAATAAAGACAAGCTATGAAGATTTTTTGATTGCCCTCAAAGAGGATATGGTAAGAAGGCATTGTAACCCTAGTTCCATCTGCTAAATATTTTGGCCTGGGGTGTGTGGGTGGGGGTCAAATAATGTCACCCCCACCACAACCTTGAGGTCTTGAGATTTTGTCCTGTTTTTACAACAAAGAAGAGCTTGGCTCCCACAGGAGAGATGGAGGGTCAGATGATACTGGCAAGTATGGAGTCCTCAATGTATTGTTGCATGGTTTCCTTTTTAAGACCTGATAAGTTTTAGAAGTGGCTGGTTGGCAGAGAAACACCCTGGGAGGAGGTCAGTGCTGCAGTCCTAAGATTGTTTAGGTGGAGGGGATGAGGCTTTGATTTTATTTCACACGGTGGACACATCCCTGTTGATCTCCGGCACCTCAGTGACATTGGGTTTCTCAAAAGGAAGAAAATCAGGTGGTAAGTGTGGAACAGCAGAACACAGGCAATGACCTGAGAAGTAGTAGTAAGTACTTTGTAGTAGACCTTACTACTTGCAGGTGTTGGACTACTGTTCATTCTATCAGAAGAGGTTTATTGTTCTGAAGTAATTTTGTGGTTTCTGGTTGGTGTTTTAAAGTGAAGGTGGTGAATACATAAGCACACATCACTTTTCAGAGTTACATCTTTTACAGTAACTTAATACAAGTTTTTATTCCTCGTTTAACTTTATTAATGTTAAGTATTGTTTGTAGATATATTCCTTATAGCCATGCTAAAAATATATTAAAATTCCATGTTGTAAGGCAATAAAAAATAATACCAAAGGGTGAATACTTTTGAAACCCACTGTAGTTATTTAGGCCATCTTTAGCCATCTTTTTTTGTAATAGTACATTCTTTTAACCACTTTGCTTCAGAAAAGAGTAAATGTTGATTGTGTTTACAGATTTTGTATGGTCAGCAGAGTGTGGAGGTTCAGGGCCACCTGAAAAAAAAGTTGATCTCACAGCTCCAATCAGACATGGAATATTCCTTCAGAATGATGAGCCAAGAGAACGGTGCCGGAGGCCTCCAGCAGCAGGTTTCCATCCGGACCGCTCCAGACCTGCTGTCTACAAAACCAACTCTATACCAGCTCAATCAGGAGGAAGATAGAATGACAGTCATCCTGCCAGAAGTCCCGCCTGAAGCTCATGTAAGGTCTGTGCTGTTTGTGTGTGTGTGTGTGTTGAACATGAAACAACTGATAACTTTTAGAGAATGGATGACTGCTGGATGGATAATGTTGTGTTTGTTGCAGGTGCTTCTACATAGTGGTTGTTCCTGAAAGTCAGGTCTCCCTGAACAGATGGGAAAACCCTGAATACATGGACCTACAGGAGGTCAGTAGATGTGAAATTAAATTGTTTGAACTTTTATAAGTAACAGTGAAGACCAGATTATTCAGTTGTGTCTCTAAATGCGATAATATTTAGTCCTTCCAGGACTTCACACACACACGCACGCACACATGCATGTGCAGACATGTACTGTATGTGCATGCACGCGCGCACACACACAGAGGCAATTACAGTGTTGCCCACTTGTTAGTGGGTAATATGAAAACAGAGGTTTTGTTTTCTTTGTGCTTTCAGTTTTTATGTGGAACAAAGAATAGATCAGAACTGGGGTTCAAGACTTTGAGCATTTGGTCTCCCTCCGTCTTTTTTTCTCACAGCTGCATTTCTAATATCCTTCTACTAATATACCCACTGTCCCTCCTCTGGACATGTCCAAACCATCTGAGTCTGGCCTCTCTAATGTCCCTTTTGCACCACTCCTGCTCAGCCTGCTCAGATCAGCCTGGATTTGCACCGCTCTTCAGGACGGGTTCTGGAGGCGTGTCCAGAATCCAAAATCCTGCTAATGAACTTTTAATGAACTTTAGTTCACCGAGTGAGAGTTCTGCGATGAGTTAAACTCAAAGCAGTCTGCTACTCAGATAAATAATGTTAAATCATTATTTTTAAATATGAATGTTTCTGTTAAATTATTTTATATATGAATATTTCTGTTCAGTGCCCTGAGGCAACTTCTGTTGTGACTTGGTGCTATATGAACTGAATTAAAGCTGATGAACCAGATTCTACAAAAACATTTATATTTAAAATTCTATATTTTTCTTCATCATTTGTTGTATTTGCACTCGTGTCTACTTTTAAGTTCAATGTAGATGTGTGGTTTTGTTTCTTGTATACAGATTTTATTTTAGCTTTGATTTAAAGTTTAATTCTTGTTTTGTGATTTGGGTTAGAATAAAGATGAACTAAAGGATGTGTCTCTTCTTTAAACATGTTTGAGGGAAATATTCCTGAGAGGTCCAATAATTTTGTCTTTTTATGATTTTTCAGCTGAGTTAACTTTAATTAACAGATTATTTAAAAAAGTTAAAGTGAAAACAGGATTTCATGATAAAGCTGGCACTGTTTATTTATTTTTATTCTTCACTGATAAAAAACATTATTTTTTAATACATAAAATGTAAAAAAAAAAAAAGTTTCCACCCTCCCTCCCGGTCCTCCCGCCTGCCAGGGCATGTAATCTGGCGTTTGTGAGAACGCGAGCCCGGGGCTCGGGGTTCGGCCTCGCGTGGTTCAACATGTCGACAGCTCGTATGATCCTCTGCGGTGACTCCATTCGCTCGAATTTTGTCATCGGTCACCAAACACAAAAAACACCTGGACTTCAGCATTAAACACGGTGTTGTCATTATTGTTTTAAAATCTTAAAAATAGATCCAGCCGCTGCTCCGAGTTCTGAGAGATTGCAAATGGCAGCTCGGTAAAAAGGTTCTGAGATCCAGTGACTCCTCCCCCAACCAATCAGTGACCTGCATTCACGTTTCCGTCTGGAGTCAGCTCGATCAGCTCGAACAGTCCCACCAGAGAAGCAGGGACGAAAAGAGGTCCTGAATCAGCCTCGAATCAGCTAAAAAGTACTGGTGGAATAGGGATCTTTCCGTGGCGGGCTGAGCAGAGTTGGGGCTGAGTAGAAGCGGTGCAAATGGGGAATAACTTTATCTCCCAGTTGTTCAACCTGTGCTGTACCTCTGATTATCTACGTCCTAATATTATCCATCCTTGTCACTCCTAAAGAGAACATCTTCAGTTCTAGCTTGATTAACAAGGTCTGCTTCAGATTTGGGAAACCAGAACATTCTGATGTGAAATGGGCTACAGTAGTGCTTCTCAATTATTTTCTGTTATGACCGCCCCAGGAAGAAATAAACATTTTGCGCCCACCCAACTCTCCGCCGCAACTGTAAATATGTCTATAAAACTGTTATAAGTGCACCTCTGCCTAACATCATGTCCTTATTAACATTAAAGAAAAAAAAGAAAGAATATAGATCAACTTACAACGAAGAACAACTTTATTAACATTGTTTTTTTTAGTCTAACAGAAACAACTTACAGTGCATCAATTAGCCTGAAAAAAAAAAAGATCATTTTTTTAAACTGTAAACATTTTGGACCATTTGATACTGAAAAATAAAGTTAAAAATAATCAATAAATAATAATAAATTCAAATTGATCAGCAACATTTTAACTCAGGAGTGTTTTATAAAACACTTTGAGCTACAAAACAAAAATGAATAAAACAATTTGTGCTGATTTAAAAAAAAAAATCAAAATTAGGAAGTCAGGATCAATGAGCTCACTCATCAATAAAACCAAAAAAAAAAAATTGTCAACAAGAAAGAAGAAAGAGGGAGCAGATAAACATCTTGCTTTGAGTTTACTCTTTGTCACCTGCATGCTGTGGGTGACAAACGTCCAGAGCATCAAAAAACAGCAGCTTAACTGAGGAGGTGAATTAACTTTGTTAACAAAGAATAGAGTCCTAACATTTATTTAACATTACGTTTGTAAATTGTGCTTTGACAAACTCATCAATAAAACTAAAACATTTAGTCAACGCAAAAGAGGAAAGAGGGGGCAGGTGTCGCTCTTACTTTGAATTTACTCTTTGTTGCATGCGAGCTGTGAGTGACGTCCAATCCAGAGAGCGTGGACATAGAAACAGCAGCGGAGGACGGAGGAGGTGACGGTCTGCGTTTATTTATCGTGTCAGCAGCAGAGGGGAGAGACACGGTTCATGCATGGCTCCCAAAACAACAAGGCAGCCATATTTGTTCATCCCTTTATTATTAAGAACGCACGCGAAAAAATTAGAATGGTGAAAAAAAGTATACTCCCTGCAGCCAAAAAAGCATATTTTCTAAGGTCACATGCGCCCACCCCAGCATTGCCCTGCCCCCCCCAGGGGGGGTGCGCCCCACTATTTGAGAAGGACTGGGCTACTGGAACAAGGCATGCATGGACAAGAGCAGAGAATTTAACACTATCGGAATGCTACTATGTGAGAAAGCCTAGAGAGAGGGACTGTATGGGAAGGATGTCGGAACTATGGAAACTTTGATAATGATCATCCAGATTGATCCAGAAACAACTTCGGACTCGGTATTTGAGAGAGAAATCTACTGTCATATCTAGAGATAGACAAGGTACAAAAAATTTGTTACAGCAAGGGGGATCTGGGACGACAGGGCAGTGGGGATATAACATCATCCCCACCAGCTGAGTTTGGGCACCAAGCTCCATTAAAAAACCCCAAAGAACTGGATACAATGGTGGTTGACCTGAGAATGAATATTGTTATCAAGCTAGACACCTATAACCTGCACCCCTAAGTGACAAATTACCTTCTAAATGTCTGCTAGAAGATGTGAATGCAGCACTGCTAAGTATCACTACTGAGACTATCACTAAGACCAATAACCTGGTATATACCACAGCCACAGTGATCCTTCATTTGCTTGGCTATATTGGGCATCGAGTCTTGAGAATTGACTGGAACCAGGACTAACATTCTGATTCTCCCGGAATTGTTCACATTTTTTATTTTCAATTCCTACTTTCGATGCCTAGTCCTGTGTTCTTTCTGCACGTGATAAAACGGAGGAGAAAGTCAGCTGTCATGCTGCTGCGCTGATCACAGATAGAGCAGCCAAGTTTAAAAGAGAGACGCTCTCTTTTGTTACAAGGGAGACATGGAAATTGCAACAGGAGTGAATAAAAATATTTATTTAAAGTTTTATCATGAAGAGAAAGTCAGCTGTCACTCTGTAGAACTCGATCACAGGTGAAAAGACGAAGCTGCGATGACGTCAGAGGGAAAGGAGGTTTGGATGGATCACATGATATGTGAGCGGAAGTCCAGCTAACACTCAGAATGTGGAGCTTGGCTCTGAGACCTCTACTCCTAGAGTCCGGTGTCTGAGTTCGTGGTCAAAAATACAGGCATGGGTCATTCACATAGAGGCAGAAAAAGCTTAACTTATTTTAGTTTTAGGGTTTTAGCTGGAATCAGTGGTCTGAAGGCAGAGCAGACGTCGAGGTCCAGGTATCCGATGGGCAGAAGGATTCGTCTTTGGGAGGCAAAGGGGAGAATCATGAAGTGGGTCAGGAACAGAGCAGGAACAAAAATACTGGATTACATCAGCATGAGGCAATCAGAAAGTCTGCAGACACTGGGGAGCACTTAAGAAGCACGGAACACACACACACACAAAAAAAATTAAAGCACAGCACAGGAACTAAATCATTTAAAATAAATTATTTAAAATAAATTATTTTAAATGATTTAGCACCTGCTGCAGGAGGTTGGGGGCAGACTGGCCATTGGGAGCACCGTGACATTTCCCAGTGACCTAACCATTCACCGAGTTGGACTAAAGGCTCGGTTCCAGTCGCGCTTGATTATTTCAAATAAACATCACTGCTCATGCAGCATGTATTGTTTACTTAAGCGTTACCACAGGTCCTTCCTTCCAGCAGCTGTTAGACTCTACAACCACCACTGCTCCCAGCAAACTCAATAAAGATTAAATAGACGCTGACCTCTGCTCAAACACACACTCTGTCTATAATACTGTACTGTAAATAGTCTGCCTTTTGCCTTCCGGGAAGACTTCCGGGAAGATGGCGCCGGTGCTGGTGGCTTGCCGTTCACCTCTGTCTGTTCTGATTGTTTTTTTTTCTGTTTTTGTCATTTTTCTTCGGTGACATAAACTCACTACTTATTTATGATCGCCAACAACTTTTAAATATACAATTATCTACTGCAAAACCCACCTTGTTCGACCACTTTGATCGGGGCTCTGGACCCACACCCCCTTTGCTTGTTGATGTCCCGGTTTACCTGAAGCACGCGGCATTTCTGCCCACCCAAAAACATCGCTCCAGGCGCCGTGGGAGACGTGCCGGCCTTCTCATGAGGATTAAAGCCAGCATCAAGTTCTCTGCTGCTTCGTCATCTGCTGCTGACCATCAGACGTTAAACTGTCCATCCGGATGCTTCGCTGATCCACTCAACTCCAGCTCGCTCCAGGTGGCCAGTCGTGCGCGCGGCCGCGGTGGTCTCGGACGTCTCCAGTGGAACTTAACCAACTCCGGACTGTCTGCTGCATCATCTCCTTCTGACCATCTGCTGGATATTCGCCTGTCCGGGTGCTTCGCTGATCCTGCTGGGTCCTGCCTGATCCCCGTAGTTGAGCCTGGCCTGCGCCGCGGGCGTGTGCACAGCTGCGGCGTCTCTGGTCCTTGGAGGCGCGGTTCAAACTCCAAAAATCTGAAACAGCTGATTTGTGCTCCAAGCTCAGCTTTTCCTTCAGCTACTGGTCCTACAAAGATTGCTCTGCTGAATGTGAGGTCACTAGCAAATAAATCTTTTATCTTAAACAACTTTTTTGCTCCGATGGACTGGACTTCATGTTTGTTACAGAGACCTGGCTCATCCCTGGTGAGTTAAGTGTTTTTTCTGAACTGTTGCCGGTGGATTGTGCCTTTTTTAATGCTCCAAGGACTTCTGGTAGGAGTGGTGGATTATTAACAGTTTTTAAAAAGCTCTGGAACTGTAGACAGCTACAGGCTGTAGCTTTTCAGAGTTTTGAACTGCTGTATTTTGAGCTGGGCCGCTCCAACCCAACACTGTTCTGCCTGATCTACAGACCACCTTCATACAACAAAAACTTCATAAGTGAATTTTCTGACTTTCTGTCTGGAATACTGCTCAATTACGACAGGGTCTTGATTCTGGGAGACTTTAATGTGCACGTTTGCTGTCCTGACAAGCCTTTGGTGCAGGAGTTTCTAAATCTGATACAATCTTTCAACCTTGTGCAAAATGTTGTTGGTCCAACTCACCAACAGGGCCATACACTTGATTTAGTTCTGTCTCACGGTTTATCTGTGGTTAATCTGGAAATTGGGGATGCTATTGTTTCAGATCACAAACCCATTTCATTCCAAACCTCTGTTATTCATGAGTCTAAATCCCCCGCTCCAGCCAAGAGTTGTCGGATATTTAACTCTTCAACCGCTGCTCTTTTTTCCTCTGCATTCCTTACTGATGCTGCTTCAGTCCCTGAAACCTCTGCCTGTATTACTACGCAGGCGCTGCTCAGTAGGCATGATGCGACCTGCTCTAAGATCTTAGACCTCGTGGCCCCACTAAAAATCAGGCGACCAAAGCAGGCACCACACCCCTGGTTGAATGCGACCACTTGAGCGGCCAAATGTCTATGCAGGAGAGCTGAACGTAAGTGGGAAAAGGACAAATTACAGGTTTCTTTTATTATGTTAAAAACGTGTTTGAAAGATTATCAGAGCATCGTTAAATCTGAAAAGAACAAATACTTCTCCCAAATAATTGCTTCAAACAGTCATAATCCCCGTGTTCTTTTTAATACCGTAAATTCCATTTTAAACGTGCCTCGGTCTGCCAGCATGGAGGCCTCCGTTGACATCTGCAACAACTTTACCAGATACTTTGCTGATAAGGTAGAGTTGATTAGGTCATCCATCCCCCAGTCCACAACTGACCCCTCTGTCTTTGTCCCTTGCTCAGCTGTCTTTAAACAGTTTGAACCCATTTCACTACCATTTCTGAACAAAGTTGTTGGTCAGATGAAACCCTCCGGTTCCCCTGCTGACCCCATTCCTGCGTCGTTTTTCAAACAAATTCTACCCACGATTGGACCCTCTGATCTTACTATTGTAAATAGTAGTATTGTGGCAAGTGTGGTTCCCGATGTTTTCAAACATGCAGTAGTTCATCCGTTAATTAAGAAACTTGGACTTGACCTTTCGACTTGCTCAAATTTCAGACCCATCTCAAAACTTCCCTTCCTGTCCAAAATCCTGGAGAAAATAGTTTTCATTCAATTAAACAAGTTTTTGAATGAGAACAGAATCTTCGAAATTTTTCAATCTGGTTTTAAGCAACTCCACAGCACTGAAACAGCATTAGTAAGGGTTTGTAATGATATTATAATATCAAACGATTCTGGTCAATTTGTGGTACTTGTTCTCCTGGACCTTACTGCCGCCTTTGATACTGTTGACCACAATATCCTTATATCACGGCTGAAACAGTGGGTTGGGATCACAGGTGCTGCATTAAAATGGTTCCGCTCATACCTAAGTGGCAGGAGTTTCTGTGTCAAGGTTGGTAATAATATATCTGCCTCATTACCTCTTTCTTGTGGGGTCCCACAGGGTTCGATTCTTGGACCCCTTCTGTTCTCACTTTATTTGCTCCCACTGGGGTCCATCCTGAGGAAACATGGTATTTCATTCCATTGCTATGCTGATGACTGCCAGCTCTACCTGCCTGTGAAACCAGCAAGTGCTTGCTCCATTCACTCTCTGTTAAAATGTCTAGACGACATTAAGGCCTGGACGGCTTCAAATTTCTTAAGTTTTAACAATGACAAGACTGAAGTCATTGTTTTTAGCCCTAGCTCAACTGCCACCACTGATTCTGTCAACCTGGACTCTCTTCAGCCATATCTGAAGCAGTCTGGTAAAAATCTCAGGATGGCTTTAGACTCTGACTTCAAGTTTGACAAACAAATCAACTCTGTTCTGCAGAAAAGCTTCTTCCAACTCAGACAGGTAGCTAAGCTCAAGCCAGTGTTGTCCATACCCGACCTTGAGAAACAAGTCCACGCCTTTGTCACGACCCGTTTGGACTATTGCAATGCACTCTATGCTGGGATCAGCCAGGCCTCCATCTCACATCTTCAGCTTGTCCAGAATGCTGCTGCTCAGCTTTTAACCAGAACTCATAGGTCTGAACATATTGCACCAGTTCTGTCCTCCCTTCACTGGCTCCCTGTTCGTACGAGGATAGTCTTTAAAATTCTTCTGTTGACCTTCAAATGCTTAAATGGCCTCGCACCCCTTTACCTCTCTGAGCTTCTGGAACCTTACGTTCCCTCTCGGGCCCTGAGATCATCTGATCAGCTGCTTTTGGCTGTTCCAAAAACAAGACTGAAGCTCAGAGGAGATCGGGCTTTTTCAGTCATGGGCCCCAAACTCTGGAACAACCTGCCCCCCAACATCAGGCAGGCCACCTCCCTTACTCACTTCAAATTCCTGCTTAAAATACATCTGTTCTCTCAGGCATTTCATACAGTGTAAATTGATCTAGTGTTTTTTAATCTGTGACCCTATGTTTTAAATGCTTTTTATTAATTCTTCAGTTATTATTATTAGTGTATTGTATATATATATTTTTTTTCTCTCCTTTATTTACTCATTGATTGTTGTTGTTGTTAAGCACTTTGATAACAGGTTCTGTTTTAAATGTGCTCTATAATAAGTCAACTTTATAAATAAAGTTGACTTGACTTGACTTACTTCTTCATATATTGTTTTTAACATTTAGGAACTTTTGTGTGAATCTTTTTATCTTTTTTTTTCACTTCAACACTTGCTCTTCTCAAGGGCGGACGTCTTCTCCTCTCTCTCTCCACTTTGCTTTTGCTCTGTCTTGTCTGTGAAACTGCTTTAGAGCCTCTTCTACAAATCTTCCGAATCATAACTATGGACTTGGATTTGGTCAGTTAGTCCCTCAACACAATTGATAACATTTCTTCGAGAGGACAGGCTTTAGGTGAGCTGATTTGCCCTGTTGGCACGCACGCAGCTGGATATCTCATCGACTTTGAAGACTTGATGACGTGTCTATCTCTGCTGTCATCTGTGGATTTTAAGGATACATTTATAATTGGATTTATGATAACTGGTTCCTGCTTTTTGGATTCAGCTAGTTCCTGGTTTATCAACAAACAAGGAAGTCGTTGGCAACAAATCTGGACCTGGTCAGGCTGCCTGCCTTATATGATGGCTTGGTTCGTGCCTCGAGCGCCCAAACTTTTGGCAGAATGGATCAGATCTCGGGGAGTATTCGCAGTCATGTCCCATTGGTATGGTCATTTAATTTGGACGTTTCGGAAGCAAGTGGACCGACACAGATATCACTGTTGCCAGATCTCACGATAGAAACAAGCAACCAGCTACATGAAAACAAGCCCAAAACAAGCCCAACTGGCAACCCACCACATTGTGTAAAACAGGCCGTTTTTAAACAGTATAAACATAGATTTATCATGGCATTACATATAAACAGCAAAATTATGCTAAACACTTTGAATAACACACTTTTACACTTGGAAGAAAAAACATTTCACATATGTAACATTTATTCAACCTTTAAATAATTAGCATAAAGACTGTTACAGATGAAAAACGTAAAAATAGCTATTATCTGAACTATAATCCATCATCGCAGTTTTCATTTCCATCTGTCTTTGTGCTTCCAAATGTTCCTTCCACAGAGTACATGTTACTGATAAATGTATGTGTGTGTGTGTATGTATATATATATATATATATATATATATATGTATATATGTGTGTGTGTGTGTGTGTGTGTGTGTGTATATATGTATATATGTGTGTGTGTGTGTGTGTGTGAGTATATATGTATATATATGTGTGTGTGGGGCAGCACGGTGGCGCAACTGGTAGAGCTGCTGCCTCTCAGCGAGCAGGTCCTTGGTTCAAACCCCGGTCCAGGGGCCTTTCTGGGTGGAGTTTGCATGTTCTCTCCGTGCATGCGTGGGTTTTCTCCGGGTACTCCGGTTTCCTCCCACAGACCAAAAACATGCATGTTAGGCTAATTGGTAACTCTAAATTGTCCCTAGGTGTGAGTGAGAGAGTGAATGGTTGTTTGTGTTGTTTGTCTCCATGTGGCCCTGTGATGGACTTGCGACCCGTCCAGGGTGTACCCCACCCCTCGCTCAGTGATTGCTGGACATGGGCACCAGCGACCCCCGTGACCCAAAATGGAATAAGCGGGTAAAGATAATGGATGGATGGATGGATATGTGTTTGTGTGTGTGTATATAT